TAAGTTGCCTAATAATTATGCACAGTAATAGTCACCTGCACACACAGATATCCCCCTAAAATAGCTAAAACTAAAAACAAACTAAAAACTACTTCCACAAACATTCAGCTTCGATATTAATGAGTTTTTTGGGTTCATTGAGAACATGGTTGTTGTTCAATAATAAAATTATTCCTCACAATACAACTTGCCTAATAATTCTGCACTGCCTGTAGTTTTGCAGTAGTCTGAAACATGTCTGCAGGTTTCAGTTGTGCAGTCAGACCAGCTGACCTCATCGACCAGCGACACACCCAGCCCTATTAAACATGTGTGAGGGAGAGGAAGGAGGGGGTGAGGGGGTGGGTGGGGTCACTCAAATGTAGGTCAAACTCCATCCGTCATCCTGTACAAGGCGGGCGGCGCACCAAACGCCCTCAACACATACACTGTACAAATGTTTTCTTTTTCTGTGGTGCTGCAGAGGGGGAAACAGAGGCTCAGAGCAGGGGCCGGACCGAGGGCTCTCAGAAACCCCTGTTTTCCTTCCCTCCTTCTCTTACTTTGTTTCCTTCTCCTGGCCTTCTTCACTTCGTCCTCCACGGTCAGTTCATCAGTTTTTATTTTTTTGCTTTAGCTGAGTCAGTTGATTCCAGGCCAGTGTAAACAAACATTTCCTGTGTCGCTCATTTCCTGTTTGGCCACTTTAATGACGCCTGGTGGATGGTCCTGGTGTGTGACAGAGGGAACAGCAGAGCAGACATCAAACTGCAGACGCATCATCACAACAACGCTCACAAGAACCGGGTTTAATCCTCAGAACTTTACACTGAACTTAAATGTTTTCATATTTGAAGCTCCAACTGTGATTAAAATAGGAATAAAGACAGAAACGAGGGAATCAGATGGACAAAAACAACCCCTCTGATTCTGTTTTTACAGTTTAAGTTTTGAAATGAAACTGTATTTCCTGTTTTCCTCTCAGACGTGCTTTAGTCTTTAGTCTTCATGCAGCAGCATTAAGTTGTTTTTTTTTGTCGGGATTAAAACTGAGGATAGAGTCTGAGCTTCAGAGCAAATCAAAAATACATCAAACCTTTAAGGCTTTAAGGAAGAAATTTCATTTATCTACGTTTTAATACGGACATTAAACAGGTAAAAACATTCCACAGAATATGAGTGTTTGTATTTGTTCTTGTGTTACTTTCAGTTTTGGGTCTGAATATTTGAGTTTCTGCTACATTAAAAAAAAGTGTTTCAAGCTTCTTTCTCTGACAGTTTGTGATGAAGTTTTGGTTTAATCTCTGCGTCCAGCAGAATAGAATCAAAGTCTGTGACTCTGAAGAAGAACCTGAATTTCTTCTTTGATTTCAGTCTTTTTTTAAACAATGTTTTTAAAATATGCGACACAAACATTAAGTTTTTCTTGGTTTTAATTTAATCTGATTTAAATTCTTTACAGCAAACAGACATTTTCCTTTTTTTCTGAACAAAATTTAAATCTGCACTTTACTGAAATAAACCCTGAAATTATTCATTTCTTTGGAGCACCAGAATGAAAGAAAAAATCTTTGAATTTCTTTGAAGTCAGTGGTTTTTAAATAAAATCTTCTCATTTAAATCTGACACACTGAGACGTTTAAGGTCAACTGGTTTTTGTTTGGAAATCAGTATCAATAATTCAGAAAAAAAGATGTTTGTAGTTTTGAGAAGAATCTTTTCCTGATTAAAAAATAATAATTCTACTTTTGGGGAAATTAACGAAATATGGACGGTATATTCTGACCTGCAGTCTGATTTATTAGTTTATCGATCACTGATAGATCTATCCTACCTCAAGTTTTATCCTCTGAGAGTCAAACTTTCTTCTTCTGTGCAGTTCACGTTCACCAACCTTAAACACAGCAGAAACAAAGTGCAGACGTAGTCGATAAAATTTTACTGACATGAGAACAAACAGATTATTATTTCATGAGGTAAAAATGGCTTAAAATTCTAGGTTGAAACTCAGTCTGAGAATTTCATGTCCTCTGATTTTTAATTTCTAAGTTTGTTTAAATAGGGGTCAGATGACAGAAATCCTTTGCAAAGAGCCAAGTTTCTTTCCAGGAACTGTGGAGTGAAATCTGGACTTCTTCCAGATGTTTAGTTCGTGATGGCAGGGGAGTTGATGTGTTTAAGGTCCATGCGGAGTTGGCTCTTTGAGCGCTGAACTCAGTTTTCAACAGGAAGTGTGGTTTTTTTGAAAGTTTTTTTTTTTTAAAAAGCTGCAAAAACACAAGTTAACAGTCAGCACACAGAACTGAGCCGAGAGAGCTCATCTGTTTCCTGAGGATTATTTAAATATTATTAGAAGTTAAAAAGACAGACCTGAAGCCTCTCCAGTTAAAAGATTAATGCAGTAGTCAGTTATTTAAACTACTCGTTTAGTGTGACTTCTTATTTTCTGAATCTACAGCAATGGTGATGGCACGCTGCAGGTTAGTACTTGAGTAAATGAACGATTTCAAACTCAACCGGGAAAAAAACAACCTGAGACTTCTGAGGCTGAAACAACAACAACCTTGCAGTCCCCAATACACTCCCATGTTAAAACTTCACAGCAGAAATAAACATGTTTACAGCCTGATACACAAATTGGTTGTTCTCTACAGAGAATTTCCCCCTTCATAACACCCATTTTAAACTTTTGCTACAGAATAAAGAGGAAGTAAAAGAATAACCAGAAGGGTGTCACTATATGCAGATTACATAATTTTACACATTGAAGAACAGAGTCTAACAGTTTGTTTGGGTTCATATCAGAAGTAAGATACAGATATCACAACCTGTTTAAATTGTATTAAGGCTTAAAGTTTGCATTATTAGGAGTGTGGCCTTTTTGACTGACCGGTGAATGACAAAACACAGGTGCCAGTAGCTGCTAGCTGTCTGCTAGCAGATACCTCAGCTAATTAGAGTCCCTGAACTGGACCTGTGGGCTATGTTTGTGCTGTTGGGGCACTTTTTAATGATCTCACTAATAACATGGATGCTGTGCAATCTCATCCAAATATGGTGAGCACTGGAAACAAAATGGCATCAAAATGCAATAAAAAAATTTTTTAAAAAAAAGACTGAGGATTGGGAAAAACCAAAAGGTGATGTGACAGAAGCGAGCTCTGTCTTATACACGATGGTTACGATCATGCGTTTAGAAAGAAACAAAGCTTCTATTTTGTCAGATGCTTGGAGCTGGTGACCAGGCTCCTTGTAGACATTTTTGTACATCGTCTGCTGCGCCAACCAATACAGGAAGTACTACTCACAAAGTACTGAAGCTGAGATGAACCAGCAGGCCTTGAATGCAGTACGATGGCGTTTATGGCACACAGAGAAATTCAATAAAACATTTACAGCTCAGAGTTCATCTGAGGACTCGATGCCAGTGTCAACCAACTGTAAGTGAATGCAACACAAAGCTTCTTTGATGGCTACTCTCTGTAGTATCACCATGGCAACCTGCCCAACACTGTAATGTTACCCTAGCAACAGCTGTGGTAAATGAAGGTGGACAAACAACTGGTGAAAACAAATGAATGAAGTTAAAAATGAAGCATGAGATGCTGCTGTTACTTTATTGTATTTGATTCTACTTTCATTTTATTTTTGTTTTCTGATTAACTCAAATGACCTGCAGAGGAGAGGCCATAGCAGCAGCGACTCGATGGAGCGAGCACACCTGAAGTCAAACAGTTGGCTCAGGTTGCCTCAGACGTCTTCTAACTTGGATGTCTTTACATAGTTTTAGAAACCAGCTGCAGCACATCATCAGAGAATTGCTATCCCAGAAAGAGCTGAGGAGAGCCCCAGATGAGGGGTCACTCAGCAGCCGCGGAGCAGAAGCCGGGGGGGGGGGGGGGGCAGTGACGCGCCCGTGAGCTCCGTCGGCAGGCAGCTGTGCCTGTGACCGAGCCACAGGCCGAGAGGCTGACAGCACCCCACCCCCGAAGTGGCCCGAGTGAGCCCCAGGCTCCAGGCCCCGACAAGCAGCCACCAAGGAGTGAGCCGGTGTGTACCTGGACGCCCATCCCCGGACACACTGTAATATCCTTTATCTATCCAGGTGAATGTCTCATTGAGATTTAAAACTTTTCCAGTGGCCATCATGGCAGCAAAAGTTACAAGACATAAGTAAAAAAACAAATACATTTATATGTAAAAACATCATTAAGAGCGACATTAAAAACAGTCACACTGACTAGAAGAGTTATTCTCTCTTTAAAATGGACTTAAACTCCATTTTGTTCCTTCTATAGATAATTCCAAGAAACAGGCACAGCGTATTTCAAAGTCTCTTTTCCCATGTTCTGTTTTGATTTTAAGAAAAAAAAAATCATTTGTATGACGTTGTGAGAGTGAAGACTATATTGGTTGTGGTTTTTACACATATAAACACAAAGATAAGTTATGAGCTAAACCTGCACAATTCAGGGGTTTATAGTAAGAAAACATTACAAAAGGTCACGTGTTGGCCACAGTTTCTTCTTCTGCAGGTGGAAACCAGAGGTGAGCAGTTCCGCTTCCTCAGGACTGACACAAGTAACAGACCAGAGTAAGACCTGAAACACTGCTTCACCTTTAACCTTTGGTTGGTCAACAGTTAGGGTTAGTACAGCTGTTTCTGCTGCTGCTGCCGCCATCTGCCCAGCAGCAGAGACAGCTGTTCACAATCATTTCAATCAAGTCAAGATATATTAGCAGACTGTACATGAAGTAAAGGTCACCCTGTGTCAGATGGAGGTCAGCTGAGGTAAATAAGTCCTTAGCTCCTCTAAACTACAGCTGCCTCCACCCTTCATACTACAACCGCAAGCTGTTTTCTAGCTTCTGAAGCCAGAAGATCTCAAACTCGCCCAAAAAACATTCAGCTGCAGAGGGAGGAGGAGGAGCCACAGAATCAAGCAGCCAAAAGAAGCTCTGAGCTCAACTTTTCCACAAACATCTGGCCAGCTGCTCGGCGCTGCTGCTGTAATGGACCTCAGCAGTTTCAGTGTGTGCTACCTGTAACAGGCTGCTCTCCATTAGTGTGATTGAACATCACCTCCTGCTGGTCACTCTTAGTCAGTGCAGCACTCCTGTTCATCCACGGCACACAGGGCAGTCCCCTGGAGAGTCACACAGTCTGCTCAAATATTCAGGACAGCAAGTTTAACAACTTTAAATCTACACAATTTAAAAGCTTTTCCAGCTCCATCCACACACACGCAGAACTACACCCTCATCACATGCCACACATCCATTAGTCTTCCAGGTACTGCGTGCTCCCCGCCTGCAGATACCATTCCCAACCCGATGCTGCGACTCTCCATCAGATCCTGTTGTTCAAACTACAAATCTTTTCCTCCTTTAGAGAGATCTCTCTCCTTTTTAGGAAACGCTCTGATCAAATTTTCTTCCTATTGACAGAAAAATCAGTTTTAATGCAATTAATCAAAGACAAGAGCAGCCCTTTTAGGTTTATTAAAAATGTCTTTGGTTTAAACAAAAACACGGAGGTAGCAGAAACAGCCAAATGTCCCACAGATGCTGCAAGTTCTCAGCTCTTCCTACTTCGCTGCCGCTTCCTGTGTGAAGCCCAGGTCCCGACTGAAGCCTCAGCCGTCCTGGGTGATGTCCGGGTCCTCCTTGGTGACGTCCGGGTGTTGAGTGAAGCCTGGGCCTCGGGTGAAGCCCCGGCGGTCTCAGCCGAAGACCCGGCATTGGCCTTGCTCTTCCCTCTGTACAGTCTGGTGTCAAAGATCCTCCTCTCCACACTCAGGACCTCCTCATAGAGGCAAAACGGCTTCACGTCCAACATGAAGGCGAAAAGCTGCAGCAGCCAGATGAAGGAGCGTGGCAGCGTTGCCTCCACCTCCTTGTAATGACTGTTGTAGCACCTGCAGGAGGAGGCAAGATTTAAGTGTCAATGCATCGTCATGGGAACGTTTGAACAGATGAGGGGAAATTTGGCATTATGATGTGGGATCAGTTTGTTGTCGGGCCTAGTCACAAGTTTGAGGTCTTCCAGGAGATCTCATTCAGCAAATCAGTTTAAAACCCACTAATGAGCATCGAAGGAATCGAAGGAGCTTGGAAAGAAAAGCATCTGGACTTCTTTAAGTTTCTTGAAGACGTTTCGTTCTCATCTGAGAAGCATCTTCAGTTCTAAGAGCAATTGTTGATTCCCCAAGAGAAAGGATGCCCCAAATGTCTACATTTTGGACAGAGAATGTCTTCTCTGGTTTGAAAGAGGAGTGGAAAAAAAAGCCATCTATGGTCGTGTCCAAATTCATGGGCTGCATCCTCCTGAGGACCCAGCCTTCGCGATCTACGTGGGCCGGGTCCTCAGAAGGTTGGGTAGGCCGGAAGTAAACGGCTGGGGAAATTGGACGTCTAGCCTTCTAATTAGCGTCACCGCTGTATCGGTGGAGTTTAATAAACTCAGCCGTCTGCTCCTTGTAAATGACCCAGATTATTTGTTTATTTGATATTTTTCAAACAGTTAAATCCCTGAACGAATTATACCTTATAATATAGATTAGACTCTTATTTTGAAATTCGGAACGGGCAACTTCCGGGAAGGAAGATCGTACCGCAACTGCTTGCCGCAGAAAGGATTAATGAGAAGGTTATCGTTTTCCATCCATCTTAAAATTAGCATCTAGCTGGAAGGCGAACAGGTATGTTTGTGTGTTGTACTTGTTGTTTACATTTCGGACAATTTGTAAATGTATTACTTGATTGTTAATAAGTTTATGAGCGATCTAGCAGGCTGATGCTAGCACCTCCTGTGCCTTTTCTGTGAATTGATTAGCATAACAGAAACGTGGTTATATCAAGTGAATGTTTATTTGTTTTATGTTATGATTACAGCTCTTACGATGTGTCTATGGCAATTTGTGAATAAATGGGTTGGAATACCCCACCATGGTCCATCCGTAATGATCATTGAGTGCATCGTCTGAATAAAGTCCGGCTGGAATGCTACACTCCTTGCCGTCTAAAATATAACAGGACACTGGCGTAAACTCTCAACCGTCTCACACTTCTGTTTAATCAGTTTTCTGTTTGACGTTTATTCAGCTGTGTGAAGATCCCGGAGGAACCCACCCGGGGGATTAATAACGTTTTATTTTATCTATTTTATCTAATCTAATAACTTTAATCTCAGCCAAACCGATTTACTCACAAACAAATAAAACACTGAAAAAAGCCCAACAATAACATTTTTAGGTTGTCTAAGTGAATTATATATTACGTTTAACCTGAGTAGCGAAACTCTGCGGTGATCTGAAAATGATGTGCCGGGAGTTGTGCCGTTCTCGGCGGCTTCAGTGACCCTCGAGCTCCCGGCTTCCTATCAAGCTGGTGGGTAGCAGATGCTCAGAAAACGTCGAAGCACTTTTGCAAATATGCGATATCTTGATAAACCGAGCAGATATTTGATGTTTCCATAACTACTTTCTCGCCTGAAAATATGTTAAAAGTTCATTTTGTGACCCAGAAAGATTAGTATGAGTAATTTTAAAACTTAGTAGCGGCCGCCATTGTTGGAAACTGGAGTTTGGCTGGGCCGCGCTATGAATTCTGGGATATGGTAGGCCACGAAGGACACACCCGACCCATCCTTCAAATTCGGGAAAAGGAGGACGCATTTGTCGGCTGCTTTCGGAGGAGTCTACAAATTTGGACAGCCTTCGGCGCGTCGCTGTGACGTAATCGGTCTACAAATGCGGCCTCAGGAGGATGCAGCCCATGAATTTGGACACGACCTATGTCTACTTTGAACAACCATCTTTAAACAAAGGGCGGGTCTTATGATACCAACTGTCTGCCATCTATAATCCAGTTTTGAGATCCTTCCCAGACACTGACATCCGGGGCCATTTGACTTCAGTAAGAACTGAAGAAGCTTCCCAAGAAATTTAAAGTCCAGACGCTTTTCTAAGCTCCTTAGACTATGATGACCTGGATGACCGAAACCCTTCACAGACATGAGGTAAGAAGCGCCATTCTGTAAGCGATCGAACCCAGCGTCCAGTCTGTGAGGCAACATCAGTCCAACCTTCATGACATACAGAACACCAGTACATCTCCATATATCACCGCTTTGTCATCACCCTGAGGGGGAAACTTCAACCAGCCAGTGAACATCATAGAGCTCACAACTCCTAACTAGAGATGGCACGATACCACTTTTTTATGTCCGATACCGATATCATAAATTTTGATATCTGCCGATACCGATATGAATCCGATATAGTGTGTTTTGTAATCAATAAAACTGTTTTTTTAATATCTTGCTGCATTTTGTATAAGTTCATACTCAAGTTTAAATAAACAACAACACTAAAGCTATTCTGTTATACCTGTATGTAAAAAGTACAACAAAATATTTCATAGTAATAGCAATACTGATCAATCTAATAAACTTAAACCTACTCCATCCTCCCTATTCTGGTATTTTAAAGAGTACTTAGCAGAAATATTAAGCAACCTAACTAATAGGGTTGCAAACTCCCAGCAAAAAAATAGGGAACCACCACCCATCCTCCACCTCATGATGCTTAATCGACGTAATCAACTTTAATTTGATGCAGTGTGGGGGAAAAAAATTCATAGAAATCAATTATTTTTCAAGAATAATTAAATAGATTCAACATCTTTCTTCTACAGAATTGCAGACTGCACAGATGGTATCTTCCCAAAGAAAAATGTAGTATAGCTTACTAGGGTATATTAGACTTAATAGTTAATATATATACAGTGATGGACTTTTATTCATTTTACATCAGATTAAAAGCAGGGGAGGGAGGAAGAGAGAAGAGCCAGTCGCTCCATATATCGGTTGTTAAGCTTAGCGTGGGAATGCTTTACAAACATTCAGAGATAAACTTAGACACTTGCTTTACTTCTCTCTGGGATCACTTCAGAGATGAAACGCTGGTTTGGTAGTGAGGCTACAAATACACACAGCCGCTCTATCACGTGACGCATACTGCTCCGACATGCTACGGTTATGAGCCGAGTTGCGCCGTGTTGCAAGTTTTGTGAGGTGCTTTTCTGATATTTAATGGATCGGATTACATTTTTTATTTCTCTCCGATATCCGATCCAGTAATTTAGGTCAGTATCGGACCGATACCGATAGGTAATATCGGATCGGTCCATCTCTACTCCTAACCATCACATTACTCCACCACGCTGGCAGGTAACTTCCTCCTCCACCCAATTTTTTTCTTCCTGACACTTCACACTAAGATTCTTTGTTCATGCATCGCTATTTTCAGTCCTCTGTCATCAGCTCAGTTTAAAATGACTAAAGCCTTAAACGACCAAATAGACTCACCAGAACTTCTGTCCTCTGAGAACAACTTGTCAAAAGATCTCAAGCCAAGATGTGTACTACTCCCTTTACTGGCCATTCTCCAGGGTTTAAAACCATAAATCTCAATTTTTTACTGAATTATTTCATAAAGCTGACTGCTGATGACCAGCGATCTACAAGCGCTGATGTTTATGTCGTGCAAACTTCTATTTTTGCTCTATACAAGCAGCAGTACACTCTTAAGTGTGAAATCTTCACTTTCCTCTTTGGAAGTTTCTCTCTTTGAGGCAAGTTTCTGGAGAAAATATTCCTCTTTGGTCATTTTGAGATTTTTGTGTATTTTGATATTTCAACTTGAGACTGAAGCTGTGAGTGACTCACAAGCAGCGTCTGAGCGCCGGGTGCCAGTATATGTCGTTCAGCGGAGTCAGGAAGTCGTATCTACGGGTCACGACCTCGTCCAGCTTCATGTGGTGCAGACTGGGACCGTCTGATTCCTCCTCGTCCCCCCAGCAGAATATGAAGCTCGATGGTCCTACGTCCTGGAGCCCCGATGGACAGGAAGTCAGCTTCTCGAAACACAGCTGGACCTGCTCTGCAATTCCTGCACAAACAACAGAGGGAGCGTGTCGCATCTCAGGATGTTTTTTCATGTGCTTCAGATTCATTTTGCAGAGAGAAATTAATATACAGGAAAGGACAGGACTTCACCTCTCTTTCACAATAAGATCAGCCAATTTAATTTCTTACTTTTTTTTTTAATCATCGAACACTTTTCTTTCTTGTTTGGGTAAATTTGTTTCTTTGACTTCCACTGCTTCCTGCCGGGGAGAAAAAAAAAAAAAAAAAAAAAAAAAAGCATATCAGGAACTCTTCATCAAAAACAGAAAGCACGGGTTTAAAAGAAAAATAAATAAATAAATAAATAAAATCATGATTTTTTATTTTTTTTAAGGGAACACAAGCAGCTATTAAGCAGCTTCAAATGTCTCCACATCTGCAGGTGTCCGAGTCAGACACCAGAGTCAAACTCACATTATTCACATAAAAACACAAAGAAAAAAAAAAGAAAAAAATAAGAGCCCATTATTCCTTAACGTAACGCACAGATTGCAAACTTCCTGTGTGCAGATACGCCAATGACGTCACGCTTTAAAATCAGGACTAAAATCTGATTTCTGCACACAGATCCACATCAGGGGAAATACCGCTGATGTCCTACCTGGAGACATTCTGGTCTCTCCTCTCTTGAGCTCGAATCAGAGCGGCCTGCATCACTTTGTACCACCTCCTCAGGTTAAACACCTTACCTGTGGATCCACACAGAGACAGAGTCGCACACAAGCCACGTCTAGAAGGGGTCACGCTCAAAGGTCAAAAGGGCAGAAAAGTTCCAAGATCAGACATAGTTCGTCATCTGTATACAGTCATTCACAAACACGTGCAGTCAGCCATTGATTTTCAAACTGATCATGTTATCGAATAGCTCCTTACATCTGTGCCATGTTATTTTTTTAATAAATAAAAACCCAACCTGAGTCCTTCTGTCGTCCAAGATCATTGGACAGATGCCTGAAAGATAGAACCAATCACAGTCAGCACACCTGGAGCCCTGCCGGAGGTCGTCTGACGGCGTGAAAGATACGTACCACTCGGTCATGTCGTCCAGGCAAAAGAACAGCTTCAGAGTGACGATGATGAGGGCAGCGGCTTGCACGTCATACCGTGGCAGGGTGGGGTGATTGCGGGGGTCAAATGTGTGGAGCGTTTGATCCATCATACCGGTGTGCTCCAACAGCCTGCAGACCCAGGGGTGGAGCTCATCTGACAGGAAACAGGCGTGTACAGGTACACTGTCAGTGTTTGTATGTAAAGAAGGTCGCCTCCAGCAGAGACCATTATCGGTCAGAACACTGAAGTAGTCGTTACCGGGCAGGTTGACATCGGACAGGTATCTGAGGCTGAGCAGCGCCGGGTGCAGCAGGGTCTGCTGACTGATTGGAGGAAAAGCAGGCAGCTGCAGGAACTGAATGAGAGTCTCGGCCTCTTTATGAACGGCGTGATGAGACGGGACCGTCTACAGAAACCAGGTGAGAGCCAAGTCACGCATCATTACCGGGGCCAGGTAATAAACAAGATGGCGGCTTTCTCACCTCAACTACAAAGATGAGGGAGTCCTTCCCCGTGACTTTCATCTCCTCGGGAAGCTGCTCATAGGCGTTCAAGTACGGGATGTGACCCTCATTCACAAGCCTGCAAAACATCACGTTCATCCAGGTGAAACACACTGGTTAAAACCCCTCAGCCACGCAAGTGCAGGTGGGTGCAAGTGGTACCTGAGCAGGTCGCTGAGCGTCAGCGCCTCACGGCTCCACACCAGAGCTAGGTAGATCAGAGACAGTGTCTTCTTCATGCTCAGCAGACTCTGGCTCCGCTTCTTCCTGGCCGACAGGTAGGTGAGGGTGTCCGAGGAGCCGGACCAAAAACCAGAATTCTCTGAGGTTAAACGAGCAGTCAACTAACGCAGGAAACCTCATCTGGTCATATGACCTGACACTGAAACTTTTACAGGAGCTTCCTGTCAGACTGAGGACGCTTCCAGCACCGTACCTGTGTTTGAGCCCGCCGTGCTTGCTGGGTTCGACTCGCCATCTGTGCAGCTGATCCCCTCGCTGGCGCTCTCCAAGTCAGAGCCCACAGCTCTCTGAGAATTTAGATTTAATTATTAAATCTCAAAAAATGAAATAAATCGAATGAAATCAATAACCAAAAAAATAAAAAAACTTAGTAGATGAAGTAAAACATAGAAAATCAAATAAAATGATTAAATATACAAAAAGAATACAAATTTAAAAAAAAAAAAGTGAAATAAGAAAATAAAGACAAAACTAATCAACATTAAGGATTAAAAATACACAAATCAAATAAAAATACAAAAAAGAAATGAAAATGGATTAAAAACAAAGGTGAAACTGCCAGGAAATAATTTTATTTATATATATATATATATATATGAATGACAAGCAGTTTCCAGGCACCACCATAAAAACTCACCACTCTGAACTTGCAGCTCCTCACGGGGTCGTGGGTGTAGGCCTGGCGACTTTTCTGCAGGTAACACCTCCACAGAGGACACAGCACATCATCCTGAAACAGTAACACCAGTTAGGCCTCTGATTGATTGCTTTGTGGTTAACAGAGAGGAGGCGGACCTTAAATTGAGGATGGACTCCAAGCGCGAGCAGAGCATCGGCCTGGTTCTTCAGGATGAACTGGAAACCCTCGCAGACCATCCACACGTGACCACGCTCTAAGACAAACAGACACGTTAAACACGATATGACATCATCGATTTATGCTGCTGCTGATCGGACACTGACCGGCCTGCTTCTTGCGGGGTCCTCTGATGGTCGACACCCTGCTGGACAACTTTAAGAAGGACAGGTCCACCACCTCCCGGGTCCTCTGAGGACACAGTCACATGTTAGGCAACAGAATAAGGAGGTACCCTACAGGTGGGCTTAACCACCAACACCATATTGTTAAAAGAAGCATCTTAAAGCATGTTTATGGGGTTCAATTCAATTCAATTTTATTTATATAGCGCCAAATCACAACAAAAGTCGCCTCAAGGCGCTTCATGAATTCCCTATATCCCCATAACAAATTCATACTCATCCACCTGTGTAGTAAAAAGAGTGTCTCTGAAAGGGCACTGAAGAGACCCTGACACCTCAACCTCCAGTTACAGACCACTGTACAGGTCATAATGACGAAGATGTTTTTACCTCGATCACGTTGTGGCAGGACCTGCAGTAGAAGCGACCCTCGTCCGAAATGCCCCAGTCCACTGCTGAACACTGGGCACAGGGCACCGTGTACTCGGCCTGCACGCGCGCACACATACACAGACACACGGTAATGCTCAGGTGTTTCTGTAAATATTCTAATGAATAAATTAATCTTTCAGTCTTTAAAAAAAACAAACAAAAAAAAGGTACTTCATGTTTTTATTAACTTTATATTCGTGCATTCAGCTCTTAATGAACAGCGGAGGAGAAATCAGAGCTAATGTTCACGTTCAAATGCCTTTGAAAACAAATTTATGTACAACAGCTGGTGAAACTGTACAGCAGCGCCCACGGGAAAGAAGGTCAACAATTAAACCTCCAGATCCTAAACACTTCACACACAAAAGTCTAGACGTCATTAACAACGATTGCTAAAATAATCCGTCTATGTTTATCGGGAATATTTATTTGCGTTTTCATTTGTTAACTTTAAGGCTTCTTTGAGACTTTCTGAGTATTTCGACACACAATGTAGTTAAAATCAAAATTTAAATCAAAACTCATTAAGCGTACACAGTTCACAGGTACTGGTAGAGGAGTTTATTTTGAACATTATGGATAAACTGTCGCTGATATTACGCTAACGGATTTTAATTGAAGAGAACAGTTATTAAATGTGTGCCGATTAATTACTCAACGGCTGCGGAGTCACACAAACCTGTTAAATGTCTGAAGTTAAAGTTGGAGACTGAATGTCGTGCCAATCATCTTAAAACACTAATATTTTTAATTGAGTTTGGTAGGACCGAACTAGCTGACAACTGCGTTCACCGTAGGTTGCGTAAAATGAAACGGCCGGTTTATGAGAGCACTGGGAGACTCACCGTGTGTTCGTCATCCATCCTGAGTAGAAAACTGCAGCTTTAACACGAAAGTTTGGATTTTGTCAGCACTTTGTTACAACCGCACGTGCCTCTGGTTGGAGACGCTGGGACTCTTCTTCTTCGCGCATGATTTCTGTGAGACTGAACGCCTCTCTGCTGCAACCACAGGCCAGATTACATACTTCAACTACTTCTACTCAGCTGTAAAATAAAATAAATATGCTTTATTTAAATATTGTTGTAAGTAAAAATAATACACGTGCTATACTGTGTTAAATGTGTTTAAAATAACAAATGATAAATGTGTCTTTTATACTTTTTATTTTTTTTACATCTCCTCGTATAAATATACTAAGTATTAATTTTCTGGATGTTTCTAAATCACTTTAGTGAGAGTTTTTCTTCCTCCAGATGATGATGATGATGATGGGTTCCTGATGTGCTCTGTGTTTCTAAGCGGATTTGATGAGGTCAGAGGTTATAAATAGATGCCAGATGTCTCTCTGATTCTCTTATATAAGGTGACCCCCCCCACACACACACACACACATACATACACACACATATACGTACAGACAGAATGATGGTTTGATTGATTTTTTATTATTGATCTAGCTGAGGCGGATCAGCTGTTATCAATCACTGTCACGGGAATGGTTTCGCGAGCTTTTTGTTGGACTCGCGTGCAAAGCTTACAACAAAACAAACACAAACGCCTGATAGATTTTCAAAATAAAACATGTGCGGGTAAACGCTTTTCTTTGTGAAACATTTCTAAAACAACTGAAGGTTTGATTATTGCTTTGCTATTAAAAGCAAAGCAAAGAGGGCTATACAACACAGACATCCCACTAAACAAAAGAAATTGATTATTTATTAATTAGAAACACATTTGTATGTATACATTACTATTTGTATTTTAAATTTAAATTGTATACTTTTATTTGTTATTTATTCATCAAGTTAATTTCATTAAATTAATTAAATGTTGTATTATATTTATTACTTTAAAATGAACTTTTTTTTAAACTTGTTTTAGTTTTAAAGTTAAGATGACAGCACTCCCCCTCCAGTCTAAAAGATTTCCATCATTAAAATTTATTGAAATATTTACTATTAGCTACCGTGCGTTTGTTTTCAACAGTATTGATCCATCCATCCATTCCATCTTCATCCGCTTTGTCCGGAGCCGGGTCGCGGGGGCAGCAGCCTAAGCAAAGAGGCCCAGACCTCCCTCTCCCCAGCCACCTCCTCCATCTTATCCGGGGGAATACCAAGGCGTTCCCAGGCCAGCCGAGAGATATAATCTCTCCAGCGTGTCCTGGGTCTGCCCCGGGGCCTCCTCCCGGTGGGACATGCCTGGAACACCTCACCCAGGAGGCACCCAGGGGGCATCCTTGTCAGATGCCCGAACCACCTCAGCTGGCTCCTTTCGATGTGGAGCAGCAGCTGCTCTACTCTGAGCCCCTCCCGGATGGCCGAACTTCTCACCCTATCTCTAAGAGAGAGGCCAGCCACCCTTCGGAGGAAACTAATTTCTGCCGCTTGTATCCACGATCTCGTTCTTTCGGTCACTACCCACAGCTCGTGGCCATAGGTGAGGGTAGGGACGTAGATCGACCGGTAAATTGAGAGCTTCGCTTTTACACTCAGCTCCCTCTTCACCACGACGGACCGGTGCAGCGTCCGCATTACTGCAGCTGCAGCCCCAATCCGTCTGTCGATCTCCGGCTCCCTTCTCCCATCACTCGCGAACAAGACCCCGAGATACTTGAACTCCTCCACTTGTGGCAGGAACTCATCCCCGACCCGGAGTGGGCACTCCACCCTTTTCCGGCTGAGAACCATGGCCTCAGATTTGGAGGTGCTGATCCTCATTCCCGCTGCTTCACACTCGGCTGCGAACCGTTCCAGTGCGAGCTGGAGGCCCTCACCCGATGAAGCCAACAGAACCACATCATCTGCAAAAATCAGAGATGAGATTCTGAGGCCACCAAAGCGAAAGCCATCCGCCACTTGGCTGCGCCTAGAAATTCTGTCCATAAAAATTATAAACAGAACCGGAGACAAAGGGCAGCCCTGGCGGAGCCCATCACCCACCGGGAACGAGTCCGACTTATTGCCGGCAATGCGAACCAAGCTCTTGCAACGGTTGTATAGGGATCGAATGGCCCGTAGCAATGGGCCAGACACCCCATATTCCCGCAACACCTCCCACAGGACACCCCGAGGGACACGGTCGAATGCCTTCTCCAAGTCCACAAAACACATGTAGACTGGTTGGGCAAACTCCCATGCACCCTCTAGTATCCTGGAGAGGATAAAGAGCTGGTCCAGTGTTCCGCGACCAGGACGAAAACCGCATTGTTCCTCCTGTATCCGAGGTTCGACTAACGGACGAACTCTCCTTTCCAGCACCCTGGCATAGACTTTCCCAGGGAGGCTGAGGAGTGTGATCCCCCTGTAGTTGGAACACACCCTCCGGTCCCCTTTCTTAAAGATGGGGACCAACACCCAGCGCAGCCAGTCCACAGGTACTGCCCCTGATCTCCACGCAACATTGCAGAGGCGTGTCAACCAGGACAGCCCTACAGTATTGATTATTAATCGAATTAATACTTTTTTAATCGTACCCTTAAAATCCCTTGCTTTTACTGTGAAAGCCCTCGGGCCTACTTCCGCCCTGCTTCCTCGGCTACGGTAGCTTCACTCGGACGCTCTCTGACTTCCTGGTGAGTGGGGGCGTTTGTTCTGCCCGTTTCCAAACACAACAAAGACTCGAGTGGGGTGAGATTTAGTGAGGTCGGTCCAGAGATGAGCTTTAAAGCTTAAGTTTGTGTCTGAGCTGCGGTTGGAGTTTAATCTGATGCTAGGACGTTGAAGCGGGCGGCGGAAGGTCTTCATTCAGTCCGCCCCGACGGTTCAACATGTGGCTGCTTTTCGCCTTTTTAGCCGCTTTCACCGCTTTAACGAAGGCCGCCGTCCCCCCGGACACGACGGAGCAGGACTTCAGTGAGTGTTTAAAACTGAATTTAATCGTAAATGTGTCCTTTGTGAGAGCCGCCTTTCCGCCGGAAAAGTTCATGTTTGAGGCAGAAGGTATGGAGGACCGCTCATGTCAAACAAAAGTTTAATTCGCATAAAAATCACAGATAATTAAATAAATGGCTGAGTGCAGGATTATTCAACTGGATCATGATAGTAGTTTATTAAATGGAAAATCAAGTCAAATGAGATTAAAAGTTAACATTTTGACCAGATATTTAACTATTATAAAAAAATCACAATACATGAACTTAAAAATAAAAAAGTCATAATAAGAGAAGTGTAGGGAGTTAATTGTGCCTTTTAAGAAAGAAAAAGCAAAACCAAGAATAATGCTGTGCCATAACGATGTTAGCATATGTCACTGGTTTCTAATCATGATGTCATCATTTGACAGGAAATGAGATGATAAAAAGTGCAGAGTACTGAAGTTTAATATTTTAACTTCGTTTATCGTTACAAACTTTTTCCTTTTTTTTCATAAAAGGAAAAAATGGATGGAAAAACTTACATTTCTATTAAATATAAAGTCTGCAGCATTTCATTTGTGTTAATTATTAACTGATGTGTTGAGTTTGGTCACTTGTTGGCGTGTGGTAGAGCTGAGGTATTTCACAGGATTTTCAATGCTAACAGGCAGGTCTGCGTTCCCTCCGCAGTGTCTCTCAGAGCGATGCTGGATGACTTTGATGTGCTGCCTCTCTCCAGCCTGCAGACGCACTCCGTCCGCCGTCGTGACGTCCAGACTCAGACGCACGTAGAGAAGCTGATCAGCTTCAGCGCCCTGCAAAGGTAAGATGGCGGCGTCCGTCCATGCAGCTCTGTGCCATTTTAAAATCTTTGATTTGTGAACATCTCCTCCTCGTGTCTACAGGCATTTCAGACTCTACTTGAGGACCAACGATGAGCTCTTCACCAGCGACTTCAGAGCCGTGGTTATCAGCGAGGACGGCCAAGAGTCGACCTACCCGGTCAACAGGCACAACTACTTCACTGGACACGTCATCGGTAAACTATTTAAGCAGAGCCTTTGTGGGAGGTCTTTGGGGGTCCTTCTGGTGGTTTTTTTGTTTGTTTGTTTTCTTTGTTTTGTTTTTTGTATTCCTCTTGATGGAGGCTTTTAAGGTCCTTGTAGAGGTCTTTTGGTTTCTTGTAGGGATATTTGGGCTCCTTGAATGGATTAAAGAGGTCTCATGGAGATTTTAGGTGTTCTTATGGGGTTTTTAGAGTCCATGTGGGGATTTCACGTGTCCTCAGAGGGTTTTAGAGTCTCTCGTGGAGGTTTTTGGGGTCCTCTGAGTTTTGAGAAATCTACTTCATGGTTTCTTGTAAAGCTTGCAGAGTAATTAAAAAAAATCCCCAGATGTTCTTGAGAAGGTTCACAAGGCCTTATCGGGCTTCTTGTAGATGCTGGTCCAAAGTACTTCAAACACACGTGTGGAATGTGTGTGGTGACCTTTAGCTGAAAGGATTAACATGGAGTAACTGCTCCTTTAATGAGTTTTTGTGTTGTAGGGGAGGAGAACTCCCGTGTTCAGGCGCACATCGAAGATGACGAGTTCTCCGCTCACATCCTGACTGATGAGGCCGAGTACAACGTCGAGGTAAACACCTGAGACTTGGAGTAAACGCCTGCTGAGTGATCAGTCCCTAAACCTTCATCTGCTCTCTTCAGCCTCTTTGGAGGTTCACATCGGCGCCCTCTGGCGGTCGCCTCCTAATCTATCGCTCGGAAGACATCCGCAACATCAGCCGCCTGCAGCAGCCTTCGGTCTGCGGCTACGTGACCTCTGACCCCAGTGACTTGCTCCCTGACAGCGTAAAAGCAGCTGTGATGGAGGAAAAGGAGGAAGAAGGTGAGAAGTGAGCTCCTCACCTGAACTTAGCACTGCGACTGCTTCCTGTTTGAGGGTAAAGCTCACACTGACCCAAAGTGACCACGCCCAGGTGACACAGGAACCGCGTTAACCACAGAGAATGTGAGAACTTCCTGTCACTGCTCAGCACAAAGGTGCCCAGTGAAACACCTTCATCTGAACTGAGTACAGAGCGAGCGACACAAACAGGAAGTCAATCAGAAAAAAGACTTTTAATGTGAAAAAAAATCACAAAGTAAAAGCTGTTTAAACAAAAGAGAGCTCGCCATTCCAACCGAAGGAAAAGTTCGAGCTTTAAATGAAAAAATACAAAATCTGAAAAAATATTTTTAAGGTAGGGGAAAAAAAGAGAAGAGAGATTTTACTGTAAAAACATATATTTTAATATTTGACACATTCAAACACTTATAAATAATAACAAATAAAAAAAGAGCTTTCAGTTTCAAATGCATAAATAATATTGTGTGACGTGTTTCGGTGGTTTCTTGTTTAGAGTCGGCGTTCAGAGTGAAGCGTCACGTGCACGACCACAAGAAGAACTCGTGTCCTCTGCTGCTGGTAGCCGACCATCGCTTTTTCAAACATATGGGCCGCGACGAGGAGAGCACCACCCTCAACTACCTGGTCGGTACCACCTGTACATTCATCACCCCCGCCTCTCCCATCCACTGACACTGAACCCTGCCCCCTCCCAAATGTGTTTCAGATTGAGCTGATTGACCGTGTCGACGACATCTACAGAAACACGTCATGGGACGAGGGGTTCAGCGGGTACGGCGTCCAGATCGATCAGGTGAGCACGCTCTGTTCCGCTTCCTGTTTGTGTTTAAACTCGGACGCTGTGATTTTTAACGTGACACCGCGTTCCTGCCATCAGATCATCATCAAGAAGTATCCGACTCCTGTGGATCCCGGAAAAACTCATTTCAACATGAAGGGAAGTCCAGTGGAGGGCAGAGACGTTTGGGATGTGAAGAAGCTGCTAGAGGTAACCACAGGAAGCTGACCCTGCCACGCCACCGAGTAACTGTGTCCATATTCACATTTAGAGAAACAGGTTCAAGATTTAGGTCTGTGAACACAGGTTTTTTTGTGAAAACGACATTTAATTTGAAAAGAAATAGCTTAGTGTGAGTAGAGCAGGCTGTGATGTGGAGTGTGTCGGATGCATTGGATCGGTCAGCTCTCTGAGGTCTCTGCTCGCCATCCTCTCGCAGCAATTCAGTGTGGACATCGCGGGGAAAGCCTCCAACGTCTGCCTCGCTCATCTCTTCACCTATCAGGACTTTGACGAGGGCACTCTGGGGCTTGCCTACGTCGCCCCGTCTAAAGCCGACATCGCTGGAGGCCTCTGCTCCAAAGGTGAGTCCCGTGGCTCCGCCCCAGAGTCCCTGGTAGATGGAGGTGGAAGTGTGACTCACGTTGTTGTCTCCTTCCACCACAGCTAGTCCTTCGACCTTAAATGAGCAGGGAGTGATCTACCTGAACACTGGCCTCACCAGCACCAAGAACTACGGCAAGACCATCCTGACCAAGGTGGAAATGAACCAGGCGTTCTGATTGGTTAATGCCTGCTCCTTTAGAATTGTTTGAGTGTGTGTGTGTGTGTGACACAGGAATTGTTCGTCATCTCCACAGGAAGCGGACCTGGTGACAACCCATGAACTCGGCCATAACTTCGGCGCAGAGCACGACCCGGACAAACCGGAGTGTGCCCCCCGAGAGGACCAGGGTGGGAAGTATGTCATGTATCCCATCGCCGTGAGCGGAGACCACGTCAACAACAAGGTGCAAAATGCTGAATCCAGGATTTCAGTCTTTAAACTCACTGTTCCACCTGCATGTTTATTAGCGCCTCTTTACACATTGATTATGAGTTGAAGCGACAGTGAACCTCTGCAGAATTACAGTCTGTGTTTGCCTCTTGTGTGCTTCCAGATGTTCTCCGACTGCAGTAAGCGCTCCATCGTGAAGCGTCTCAGGTTGAAAGCACCGTCCTGCTTTAAAGAGAGGAAGATCAATGTATGCGGGAACTCCCGGGTGGAGCAGGGCGAGGAGTGCGACCCAGGACTGCTGCACATCAATTCAGACCTCTGCTGCACGCCCAACTGCAGGCTGAAGGCCGATGCTCAGTGCAGGTCAGAGATACACCTGACAGGTGAGGTGATTCTCTTGCGGCGGTGCTCTCGGCTCACCCCTGCTGTCTGTGTTCAGTGACAGGAACAGCGCCTGCTGCAGGGAGTGCAGGTTCGAGGCCAAAGGAGCGGTCTGTCAGGAGCCCATCGATGCCACCTGTAAAGGACACTCATACTGCACAGGTGAGCTCCAGTTACCACACAACACTTTCAGTTGACAGCGTCAGACGACTGCAGATTTTTAAAATTATTATTATTGCTGTTATTATTATTTCTGCTGTAAAGTTGAACAATGTAACATGGGAGCCTGCTGGAGCCTCTATTGGACGATAGAGGAACTGCAGGGTCTGGGATCGGTTGTTTCAATGAATCTAAATCCTTTCTAATCTTTTGCAATTCTCAGTTTAGTAATACGTAGTTGTCTTATTTTAGTCATCACAATGAAAACTTCTAATTATCTTAATAAAATGTTTTTGAACCAATAGCAGAAGAAGCAGAGAGTGAGGTTGGATAAATGGCTGCAGGTGGAAACGCTGATAGTGTAATATAAAGTGTTGTGTGTTGACAGGAAACAGCAGCGAGTGTCCTCCTCCAGAAAATGCTCCAGATAAGACGGCGTGTTTGGACAGTGGCGAGTGTTTGAATGGAGAGTGTATCCCCTTCTGTCAGGCCGTCCTGAAGCTGCAGCCCTGCGCCTGTAACGGTACGACGCTCTCAATTTGCAAACAGTTTAAACTTAGGTTTATACCCCTGAGTTTTCTTGTGGTGAGTGTACTCTGATAGCAGGAAGGCTGTTTATCTCAGCGTTATCTAGTAGTATCTAGTATAATGTTTGGTTATAATGAGCTGTTGTTTTTCAGTTAGCTCATTATCACATGTCTAACCTGCTGACATTAAGCCCCAATATCAGGAATAAATGAGCACGTTTACAGGGAGTGCAGAATTATTAGGCAAATGAGTATTTTGTCCACATCATCCTCTTCATGCATGTTGTCTTACTCCAAGCTGTATAGGCTTGAAAGCCTA